AAGAAATGGATGGATGGATGATTGACGGAGGATTGGTCGTGTCTAAAGTCCCATAGGATGCAGAGATGCCTCATTTTTGAACTACGTCACCTCATGCGATGGAGAATAACTTTTTGATTAATACGAGCTTTAGCTTGTCTCTTGGGAAATTTGTTTTCCAGACCACATTGTTGTCTTTCACCTTTGACCAGTTGCCTCCAAAGTTTTTCTGATATCTGTCCATGCGCTGTTATTTTGTCCTCACACATACTTAAGTAAGGATAAAGATGACGACTGATGGGAGACTTTCAGTAGTAATGCTGAATAATCAGACGTGTACTCAGGTTTGTAGGTTGCCAGCTCTATATGTTCCATTAGTGCTGTGAACCCTGTCATTATATTAAAGACTTGTAAAGAGCTGTTGGTTTTGTGGTAAAACTCAAAGGCAGACAGTCTGTCCTGTCGGAAATGTTTGCTAAACAGAGCTAACATTGCTTATAGTCATGGACCAATGAAGTGAGCAGGGTATCGCTTTGCCCCCACACGCTGCAGTTTGTGTGTAATTCTCACTTCTTGAGAAAGCCCTTGATCGAGAATCCTTACCTTTCCCATGCAAATCCGCTGTGTATGAGTTGGGGCGTATCCTGCATTCCTGCTCTGTCCTCTTGTGCGGAAATGTGATTCAGAAAAAGACTGCTGGTCTGCAGGTCATCTATTTCCTCTGAGGGGGCTTTCTGTCTCGCCCTTGTCTTGGAATGAATCAGTGGGTTAATGTGTGTGTGCTCCCAATTGATCTGTGTGACAGCCATTCTTTTCTAATAAGCAGCCTGCTTCTCATTGCTTCACCCATGTAGACATAAAGGATATATGAGCAAGAATGAAATCATTGAACTTTTTTTCTGTAGTTCATTATGTTAAAACAAACATTAGCAAGTTCAGTTTAAACCATTGTACTCATTTTGTCATGCAGTTGCTGCAACAGTTCATAATGAGCTTTTGTTTGCTTTGCTTTATACCTGGTGCACAACTATTCACATTAAAGTCTGTGTAAGGCAGTGATAGATAATAAAAGACTTCTGAGTGTGTCACACCACAGAAAAATGTGTGATAAGCCTCACAGCCTGATTTGAATGATTTAAAAATACAGTTAGGAATCAAACCCTGAAAAACAAACAAACAGCCACGCCCATGAAGGAAGAACGCGACGGAAGTTCAACTTCCACATATGGTCAGGGGGTAAGGGTGTGGTTTAGACGCTACAATTGCTGCTGCAAATGATAATGGGCGTGTTTGAAGGGGGAGTGGTGTTGAGTCTGCTCGACAGCAGCTGGAGCCTTCTCACAGAAATCAGCTGCAAAGAAAATATACCCAGTGAGAGTGAGTGAGAGACAGAGGTGGACGACAGAGTGAGAGAGAAGTTGTGCAAGGAGAAAAATAAAGAGACAAGACTTTTATTGTTTCAGTTCAGTGTCAAATTCATGAAGCTGCAGCATTCGAGGTTAAACAGGAGTGTCTCATTTCTGTTGTCCAAAGTGGATGTAGAGGTCCTATTACATGTAATGCAATAAACATTTACCTTGCATAGATAAAGTAAAACAAGACAGAGAAGATGTTTGTGATTCTCATTTAGTCCAGAATCATGCAGCCCTACTTTGTACACAGAGAAATATTGACAGATCTAATCATCGACACAACAAAGACTGTTCAAATAGTGAATTTTGCAGAGAGCATATACCTCAGGCAACGCCTAACACATCATTTCAAAGAAGCTGCACTAAATGACACTCAGTCCTGTAACTGTCTCGAGTGTTGACACTTCTGCTTTTGTGGTATTATTTGTATTATGTAATCTAAAGTAACTTCTTATAATCCTCTGTGGTGTTTGTAGAGAAGTAGATTGATAAAATATGACCTTCACTGACTGTGCTCTCGCTGCTCGTATTCGTCACTCGAGTTTTTCCAAGTTGATGAGCAACGTTTCCTGATTAATCAAGTTTTATGAAGGCGGACATGGAGCACGGTCAGGAAGTGATACGTGTGGCCTGTGTTGAGACAGATCTTCCTCTCGTAGCCAGTATCAACTCCCAGCGGACGACAGAAGGTCAGAGAACACCACAGTGACTGGAAATGGAGGATTTGGTTTGTTTACATGCCCTAGAGGAGCAGAAATAATATCGCCTGTATGAATTAGCGAGTAGGACTGGTCTGACTGCATACTGAGCAAGACTCCGGCACTGTCGTCAGTGCAACAAAAGCCATGCATGAGCGCAGATGTTTTTTTTCTAACATAGTGTGCATTGACGAACACCTCCGAGGTAATGAATGTGACACTGAGTGCTTTTCACGACAGACAGTCCAAACAAATCCCCCTATGGACTTTTCACCTCCAAAACCACTTTAACCATCATGCACTGCAGCTCTTCATCTCATTCTTCTTATTCCACGTTCTAAAGAAATCACTATAAATAGGAAATGACACCTTGATCCATTGTGTCTGTGTAAATTGCCCACTAAAACAATTTTATTCGGGTGAGTTCACGTTTGCTGATAGGCGTGATGATTTTTAACGTATGACTCACATCTGTGTTTTCAGTCCCCCCCCCCCGGTTGCTTAAAATAACAGAGGCAGCTTCCAAACAAAGCAGCCTCGATGTTCTGGGTCTCCAAGGACCATCTTTGGCATACTGTTGTTTAGCACTCCTTTTATAGGTAATGACCTGGGTGAATTATGTAAGCTTGTGCTTTGGTCCTGAAATCAACATCCAAAATCTGGATCATTTTGCCTTCATAAGGTAATTCACAGGCTTCAGAGTGACTCTGAGTAGAAACTCTAGAGGTAAGGACATCTGCATTTTAATGAGGAAATCGTCTGTTTGTCAATGTCAGGCCAAGGAGCATCACAATACACTACTGACTCAATTTTGGATTTGTACATTTTTACCACGATATTAAATTGACTTTAAAAACAAAACAAACATTATTCGAAACTCTGGAACTTCCTTTTTGGCTGTGGAGCCCCTGAAGCTTGCAAAGTGTCTTGATATTAATCATTCCCTGCCCATAAAGAAGAATTTAAAACCACAACCTTCACTCAGGAACAAAGAGGAGTCTGTAAACTGTTAGAAATATCGTTATGTGGCAGTTATCATGATATTAATATTGTTCAGCCAATATGAAAATCCTTAATTTTTCATAAAATATTGATAATAAAGTTTATGGTCAAACTGTAAAATATTAAGCCTCAGTTGCATTTCTTTGTCATTAGGGTTTTATAACATCCTATTGCAAATGGTTTGGGTTTTTAAGTATATATGTATAAATATATTTTACGGCCAGGTTTAATTGTCAGTGCATAGAGTGTGTTTTTCCCCAGCCTAATCTAGAACATACATTCCCCTCTGTGTAGGTGTGATGGACATCTCTGCGCTTATAACAAGGACCAGACAACATGTAATGGTCTGGCAGAGTTACAGTTTTACGGTAAAACTGCACTTAAATGTACACAAGGGAGAGACTGTGGTCCTTCATTGTTTGGCCAAGCACTGTTATGTTAGGTGTAGGAGGTCAAGGTGAAGACTTACACACACACACACACACACACACACACACACACACACACACACACTCACACTCATTTAAGCATTCACACATCCCCTGACATGTACACTGATTTCCTGAGTAATATTTCAAAGCCGTATATTTTTTTTTTTACGGCCCAGCAGGTGGTCAGGGGTCAGAGGGGTGCAGTTGAGATTTGTTCAAGCTTGTCATCATTACAAAAAAGGCTCTCATGCTCACCTCTTCTCCCTCTTGCCTTGACCCATTCTTCACTTTCCCTCTTTGTTCTCGACTCCCTCATTACTAACACTGTCCAGAGACAGCACCCTCTTTTTTTTCCATTTTTTCCCCCCATTCCTGACTATAAATGTGAGAACCATGGTGCTAAATTAACTCCTGGCCTGTAGTTTAATGGATGACGGGAAGCTACATTTAACCTTTAACATAAACATACCTCCTTTTTATCCACCTTCTCTTCTTTTTTGCTGTTTTCCTGCAGAAGCCCCAAAGCACCAAAAGCACTGGTGCTGTGAAAAACTGTCTGTGGAAAAGTCTTCGCTGTTTGTTGTGGAGCAATCAGAACCGGCACACACGCACAAAATTTTCACTGCTCCTGTCAGCTGGCGATGCGTTTACATGAGTGCAGTTCTCAAACCTCTGCATCCGAGCCACATGTGGTTTTCTGCTCAATGGATCGAAATGAGCTCAACTCAGCTGCTAATTTTGACCTCCTATATTTAACGTACAAGGTATTGAAAAGTGAAAAGCTGTTTAAACAGAGAAGTTGTTATTGTGCTGGATGTGGAAAGGAGATGTTTAACAGTCAATTTTAAAAACACATCACTGTTGCTGCGTTTATGTCTGGCATCCACGCCACTCTGGGTTTTTGCTTGAGACAGATACATTTGTGAATGCTGCTAGCCGTGTGAATGGTTGTGTGATATGCATTTTCAGGTGTGTTGTTATTGAAGGGGATTATTACTGATGGACAGAGATGGTTTTAAAAGGAAAACGTACTCGTCAGGATGTAACCACAGAATCATAACGGAGTGGGATAATTGTTCCAGTGGTAATTGACCTTGACTAAGTCTCAACTAAGTGAGCAATTAAAATTGGATGAAGTTGATATTTGATGTGTGTTTCTCACCATCTCTCACTTCCTCCTCCCTCTTTCCAGTCAGCTCCATGTGAGCCAGTGGAACAGAGGTTATATGAGAGTCTCACTGCGGTGGTCGGCTGTTTTGAGCAGAGCTGGCTGACATCATTCTCACAGGGGGGGCGTTAGTTGGGGCAGGGAAAGGGTTGGCTTGTTGCTCAGTCTCCAGCCAAGCCAGTTTCCTAAGAAAGCTGGAGAAGTATATGTCTGGGTACATCTGGTTTTACACAGTTTAAGCGAGCCAGTCATCTGAAATTGTACTCTGTAATTATAAAACACTAATGATGTCTTCTTTTCTTGCTTGCAGCACTGGGATGGTGTTGATGGAGTGAGACATTGTTGTCAAGGGAGATCATACCAGACGAAGAGCAAATTTGAATTTAATCACTGAAACTGCGTTGGATCTGCACAATGGATGGAATAGACGCCTTGCAGAGCTCGGCCCCAGAGACCAAGGCTGAGCGGATTGCCCGCTACAAAGCAGAGAGGAGGAGGGAGCTTGCCGAGCGCTATGGCAACACGGAGGAATTAACCTCCAAATATGTCCGCAAGGACAAGAAAATTGGTGAGACGTCCGAAGCAGTGCCTTCAGCGACCAAGGATAATGGATCGGAGCCAACATACAGCAGGAGGGGCCTCAGGAATAAAGTGGTGGAACCTGTGGAGCACACGGAGGATGAGCCCACCCAAGAAAAAGAGGCGACAACTCACCTCAGAACAGACACAACTTTATCCTCTAAATCAGAGCTCGTCTCCTCCGTTAAGACGTCCTCTCATTTCAGGTGAGTTTATTCATTCATTTATTCAAGAGCACAGAATTCTTGTAAGACCAGTAACACAGTTGTCCTCGTTGTGAGATCAACCGGGCCAGAGACATTAGACACTAAGCTGCACCAGGCACAGAGACTCAGAGGGAATAGTCTGCAATAAAATCCTCATTTATTATTTAGATTTCCCTGTATGCATTTCAGTTTGAACTCAGATAGGAGCAGAGTAGACTGTACAACATACTGAATATCTAGACAGTCTATGCACACATGACTTAGAATTATACCTAAGCATATTGTTGGGATCCCCCATGAATTGAAGCTTAATCAGGTACAGTAGCTCCTGTCTCGGATATTCTTTAATTTATTTATCATCTGCGGTTTATCCGTTGAAGGCGTCCATTGCTCACCGGCTCTTAATGAGTGAAGCGGAGGCAACAAGTCTGCACATTTGGAAACCACTTAGTGCTATCTTCTGTTTGAAGTAAACATGGCTGCTCACATTTCCAAAATTGGCCATGTGTGCACAGCCGAGATGTGCCACATTCGTTCTGCCACAGTATGCTTTGCAGCGATGACATGCACGCCGCTTGTTTTGCTCCACTTTACAAGTCATGTGGGGGATCTCGCATGTTTGGGATTCACAGACCGGCAATGTCAGGATAGCGTTTTTCTCATTGGTTGCCTGGAATGCTCCTTTGAGAGTTGTACATACATGGAGTAAAACCTGTCCAGTCGTGGTGCTCGGCATGTTTGGCTGTAATCAAGTTGGGGATTTCACTGTGTGCACATAGCCAGACTTGTCAGCTCTTGAAAAACAGCCTGAGGGAATGACGAGAGAGAGAGAAAGAGAGTGTAGAAGAGAGAGAGACAGAGTTTTTTAGATAGTTTCATAGTTTGGGGCTTGTGGGGGAAGGGGGGAATTGAGTGCTGCCAAGTTTTCATGCCCTGCGCCTAATGAAGCAAGATGTCGAGATTGCTGTGATTGATGGCTTGGACCAATTTCTTCATAAGATCAGGAGCCTTGTGTTGCAATAGAGTTTGAAAAGCACACAAAGCACGACAAGTTCCATCACATCTCAGCTATCAAGTGCTGATAATGAAACTCGATAATCCCTCACGGCAGAGCTCTTTTAGTTTGATAATGTTCTCGTGGATGTGGAAGTTGTTTTAAGTAAAATTGTGTCGTGCACATGGTTCAGTGTGAAAGAAGCTGCGTCACCACAGCAGAAGGAATATTTGGCAAAACACAGGGTAAAGTCGCACACAAACATATGGAGCACATTTTTAATTACAGAGAGCACGGAGATGGGTTGACGCATTGATGTGTTTGTCTCGCATGCCTGTCACGTTAGCCACTAATCTTGTCAGTGCTGTTGCAACATTCGCTGCGTGTCAAAGTCCAGTTGTGTAGTCATGTATGCAGGCGTACCAGTGGGACTTAGAGTATTACAAAGTTATTAGTCAAAAAACTTTGTGTATTATCTTGTTTATTAATCCTTCACCTTTAGTTTGTTGAAAGTCTGTTTTCCTCCAGCGTAACGTTCTCTCATTCTGCATTGTAGATAAATGGAGTTGAGCTTTATCATTCACTGACCCTTCTTAGGCAACATGTCTGAGTGTGTGTCTGTTAGTGAAACAGTATAAAGGAAGCTGGATCTCAGCTCACACAGTGATAATGAAAACTGTTTGTCAACATGTTTATCTGACACAAGCACATGAATCCGTCTCTGGTAAAGTTGAAGAGTGAAATTCCTGAACGCTGCATTTTGACATCTGCACCGTCCCACGCACGTATCTGTGCATGTACATGTGATGTCACATTTCCCTTTGCCTTTATCTCATTTTAAAGAGAACACAGGGACACGAGGTTCTTTGGAAGCTCAGTACAAAAACAAGTGCACAGTTTGTACACTTATGATGCTTCTTAACACAAAGCAGGGTCAAATAAAAAGTATGATATGATATGGAACAGTTTGTATATTCCTGGAAATCCCTCTATGACATTTATTCTCTGTATGTATTTATTATTCAAAGGGTTTAACCTGAGCCAGGAAATACAACCAAGATAGCATCCATCCCTCCCGTGCAGGGTTAGTAGCACACAGCTGTTAAAATAAGTTTTTATTTTTTCTTAATGCACAGGAATCTGATCTGTAATCGCTATCGGCTGATATGCGATGGCCAGGTATCGATATTGAAACATCTGTAACTCATTTATAGTTTGAAACGTTTCCTCCACATGTGTGAATGGTGTATTTTTTTAAGTTTAGGGTTGAATTCTGTGTGTGTGTGTGTTTGTGTTAGTGACTAAGTGGTAAACACCAGTATTCGTATGACTGGCACGTCGGTGCGAGTCAAACACTTTGATTACACACAGATTGGATGGGATTGAGGCTAATTATTGTTTACATGACCTGAACCATTACAGACTCAGAGTTGCAACCATATAAAGGAGAGTTGGCGAACAAATTAGAGACGACAAGATTTCAATCTTTCAATCAGGTCACAGTCATGATTTTATTTATTTCATACTCTGCTTCCCGCCCTGTCGCTTAATACTTCTCAAAAAGTGCTCAACTCTCTTCAGCCCTGTGACTTCGTCTGTGTTGCTGTTTTCCTCCTCGTCCTCTGTCTCTGCCCCTCTTCTTATCTGGGTATAGTTTTTATGGCAGCAGGCGGCCGACGTGTGCGGCCTCTCGTTGTCAGCGAGCTGTCAGAGTGTGGGCGGGGCTGATGAAGTGTCACTGAGCCCTGCGGTTGTAGAGAAGAACGTTTGAACTCTGAGGTGTCGGTCAACAAGAGTGTTTCCTGAAACTTTTCCAGCAACTTTAAGTGGCTGCATATTGTAATGCTTTTACCCATGTGGCTGAAATGTGTGACGCTCTCATCATTTTAAAGTTTGAAGAGTGGGTATTCCACAGCCACAGATTGGTGTTGTGTATTTAAATTACTTCATTACAAAGAACTATTTTATTTAATTAATAAAAGAAATAACGCACATGCAACCAAACATATATAACTCTAATTAATTTTGTCCATATCAGGAAACACAAACACAGATATCAATATGTGTGTCAATGACTTATCCTCCTCAGCTGATAAGAGTCTGGCTGTAGTCCACACTAAACTTACAATATTCCACCTTTGATATTATTTAATCAAATAATCTATTTGATATTTTTGACTGTAGTAAGAGATATTATCTAAATCACAGGTTTTAGTTTAAAGCCCTGATATGTTTTTTATAATATGACGTTTGTTTCACCCTCAAAATGTCACAAAGCCATCTTGCCTCACTCATTCTCATGTGTTTCCTTTAAACTGCTGGCTGCTGTTTGTATATATTTTGTTCTTTGTGTTTGCACAGTTTTCATTGGATGTGCTCGACATAAACAATGGAACATGGACGAGGCTTTATCGAGCCAGTAACTTAAAAAACGTCTGGACTGCTACAGATTGACCGTACAGGCGAGCTTGGGACTCTCCCTTTTTCAGCAACCTTTGACCCCTCCCAGATGTCCACCATGACTCTCTATTGTGTGTAAAGCAGCCCCCCCCCCCCATCCTGTTACATCATCACTGCTGCCCCACAGGCAGCTGCTGTCCCCATCCATATTTAACGCCCATTACTTAGAGATGAATGGCCATCCTCAGATACCACACAGACATTGTTGTTGTGTCAGTGCCATCATTAGTAAATTCGCATCATAGAAGGGAGAGTAAGCATCGTATTGCAGCCCTGTTTTTATTTTTTGTAGTAGCTGCATAAATAAGGCTTGATGTAGACTCAAATTCTGTATCGTTTGCAAGCTTCGGTCGTATCAGCCGTCTCATCACATCACTGTGTTAGAGAGTGACCTCATCCGTCTCCATCTCTCTCTCTCCCTCTGTCTCGTAGGCGACGGGAAACCGATGACAGCGAGGAGCCACAAGGTAAGACGAGCCCTCCACTTTCGCTGACTCACTCCACATTGTTCCACAGGCTGCTCCAGCCCTTATCTCATTCAGGTTATCTCTTATTACTCAGAGTTATAGGAAGCTCATTAATGATGTCACAACTCCTACCTGGTTTATAGTTTGTTTATCTCATTAATATTGTACGACTGGAGGAGTGAAGGAAAGCAGATGCACTTGAAATGCTTGGCTGTGATTTGTTTGCTGTGTAGTTTAAATTGAATGTTGCGCTGCAGGCTGTGGTTTTCTTTTCTTCCAAAACACGGGAGATAATGTTTGGCTTGTGTTTGCAGATTTTTTGTTAAATTGTTTATGTGTGTGTGTGTGTG